CAGAAAGCTAGCCTAATACCCGGGTGTCTGCCCTTCCATATGTGTACTCACCCCAGCATAGTCGTACTCTATAATGATTTGCAAAATGAATAAAGTTCAAAGGCAATGGAAGCTAGAAAATACCTTCAGTTCATCAGCCTCACCTTCAAGCATGCTTCCATAACTACGCTGAATTTGGAATGATTGGTCGATCTGCAGGAATAGTTGCCACTTCATCATGCTTATGGGTCCAACCTCCAAATTAAGAAGTAATTCTGTCACTGTCTCGTTAATTGCTATCAACTTATCTCTAAGCAACCAAAACTCGTTGTAGAAGATGGTAGGATAGTAATTCCCATTACTAGGATAAATATTTAAGTCTGCAAATCTGAAGTCAAGAAACTCAAAGCTGGTATATCTGAAGCTCTAACACATTTAAATAGTAGTTACCCCTAGGTAACTGTAGGATCATCAAATATGGGCTCAATTCAACAAACATACTACATCCAGCAAGATGATTTCCAATTAAGGAAGAAAATGAAAACTAAGAGCATCTGTTTGAAAGATACAGAGACCTTTATCAGTAAGCAAGATATGGTTATATCAACAGTGGTTCCAATAAATTATGGTGAAAATTTCATCCGATTAATAAGCTCACAATTCAGCATTTGGCACACCAATTCCTTTTAAACAAATTTACATTTTTTTAACATAGAACCTCAATCTGAATGGAGAAAAGAAAATCATATAGCTAACCCGAGTAAAAGGGGAATTAGCAAAAAGATTTGGTTGAGTTGGGAGAATTCCATTAATATTCAAGCATAGAGATGTTATTATAGGTGAGAATTTATAAGAGTTTATATTCTGATCAATAATTGTGAATTAAAAATTATAAATGAAAATAGCTTCAAAGTTTGATGCTTCTTAATCCTTTGATTTCCCTTTCTAGATTAACTCCAATACAATTCTTATTTATACGGATGGGTGATGAGAATGGCTAGGCTAGTCCTCGGTACTTCCTATCTAATTCATGATGAAAATGGAAAAGTTATTCTTCAACAAATTTCCTTCTAGCTCACCTATAAGGAAAGTGGCTAAGCTAAACTATAAACCTTCGCTATTCTTTTTCAGATTAATATATAACTGTACTTTCATGACTTAGGACTATGATGAGATCAAATTTCTGCTGCAAAAACTGGTGTCAGTTAAAATCAAAGTGTCCTAGAATCTAAATCATACCATACAAAACCTAAACATATTCTTTGAATGGGGAAAAGGCCTTAATAAGATTACAAGAGTAAAGCAAGAAGGTGACAACTTATATAGGTCTTAAAAACCCATAATTGAGATGCAAGATGACAAAAAGGTAAAGAACATAAGGATACAAGGTGCTATATTTGGTGGTACAGCATTATGACCATATCTGGGAAGGAAAAAAAACACAATTGTTAGTTTATTTCTCAATGAACAAAACAGGCAAAAATCTTGCTGCAAATAGAGATAAGCAGCAACCTAAATTTTTACAGCACATTACAGAAACATGACATTAAGCAGAAACTTACCGTGTAAAATCTTCAACCAAGCTAATTGTAATATTTGGTTTCCAATAAGCAATCCATTCGACGGGGCCATCATCTTTAGAATCAGCTTCAGCATCACCTGCCACCTGAATCAACATGATTCCACACTTGGATCATTATATTGTAACAAAATTCAGTGGAACCAGAAAAGCATAAAAGATCGGAAAAGTTATGTTATCATGAGGAATATTTAACGAAATTCAAACAAATAAAATAAACACCAAGAAAGAATAGATCTACCCTACTAGAACCCAAAACTGTTTTTCTTAAAAATAACAACATTCTTTAACATAATAAGCTAAAGTAGTGAAGAACAAACCATAGCCACAGGTTCAGGCCCTTCAGCATCCTTGGGGTTCCCAAGCAGACTTTTCCTCTTATCTGATCTTGACTTGGGCAAATATGCCACCACAGCTGAAATCAATTAGACGAGGGTTAATTGTTCACCAGTAATCTCCAAAGAAGAATTTAATAACATAGAGGGTAAACTCACAGTGAGTCCTTCCAAAGGCAGCTTGAGGCTGGTATTCAGGGTCATTTGGGTCTGGAGGGTAACCCGAGCGTGCGAAGAAAACATGGGCATATAGACTACCATTGTTTTTCAAGGCCTGAGAAATTAAAACATCAACTTCATCATGCGCTTTAACTCTTAACAGATAAATAACCGGATTATAAGCCAGTTGAAAGAAAGCCATATTCTCAAACATCTTACATCGGAAGGATGGTAGTTTAAAGAAAGAGTACGAGTGCTTTCAGGTCCCCAAGTGGCATAAGGAATATTAGTTTCATGCCAAACAAGAGAAGCTTCGTTCCCAAAGTCATTGAACCTTTGGTGCTCTGAAAGATATAACCACATATCCTGAAAAAAGAAAAGAAAAAAAGAACAACCAAAACATCATACAACAATGAAAGTTGAATTTACGCTGGGTTTGGGCTAATTTTTTGAATGAATTTTCATACCAAGGGTTCGCCCTTCTGGAAGAGATTGGAGATGAGGTGAGAAGGGTCGGCAGGCTTTTTGGGAGAGAAGAATTTGGAAGCGAAGTAAAAGAACACGGCGATCCTAATGATTCCAGTGATGGACTGTCCAAATCCACCTTGTTGATGTTGTCGCGGTTGCTGTTCTCCTCCTCCGCCACCTCCGCCCGCTGCTGCTACTGCTGCTGGCGGCGACATCTCTTTTTTCCTTTCTCTCAGATAGGGTTTCGAGTTTCGATTGCTTTCAAGATTAAAAAAAACAAAGATAAAAAAGAGAGAAAGATCCTTTCGGATTTGATGGTGAAGAAGAAAGATACAAACTTTCCTCTATTTTATGAAAACCAAAAAGGCTTAATACTTAATTGACATCTGTATTATAGTAAAATACTCATTTCGGACCTTTTATTAATTATTTCCCAATTTAACCCTTAACTTTTAGTTTTGTCATAATCCCGAATGTTTTATCAGTTAAAAAATGACTTATAAGTACTTATATTATGTTCCTTTTTTGCTTTAGGTACTTGAACTAATTTTTGGTCAAATTAGGTATTTAAACTACTACTCCATATATAATTAGTTTAAGTCATAATATTTTTTAATAAAAATATTTTTCGATCAATAAGATGTTGAAATGTCATACAAAATTAGGTATTTTTTACTAAAAATTATTTTAGGGGTTTATAACAAAAATTGTTTAATTTAGGGATTTTTTTGAAAAAAAATAGTTAAGGTACTTAAAATGGTTACATAATAATTTAAGTATTTTTTATAGAAAGCCGCTAGTTTTATTAAAATAGAAAATATCTAAAATTACAATGAAGATTTACAAATATAACGTAAACAAAATTATAATTATGATATTTTCCTATAATCATTGACACAAAAACTAACCACCTAGATCATAGAATGACCAAATTAGGAAAAGATTAAAAAACCTAACTAAAAAACTCGAACAAAATAAAGATTCGAACAAAATAAAGATAAGAACAAATCTGACTGCATCGACAAACGAACCACAAAAGGGATGAAACTACTTAAGGCCACCGACAAATCGTAAAACAGAGTCAAGCGACGTGAAAAAACTATCTACGAATGCAAAACATGTATCCAAATCAACCCGAGGCTCCAAAACAGCGAATATCATCATGATAAAAAATAAATACCATCTTGATCAGTCGTGGTGATGTTAAATCCAACCCTGAGAAAAAAGATAAACGAAAACAACGACAAAAAACCGTAAACTTTAAAAAACAGAGAAAAACGTGTCACAAAGACAGAGAAAAACGTGTCATAAAGGTAGATATAAACATAACATAAATATAGAAAATATATCACAAAGACATAATTATTCTTATTAAAAAACTAAAAAGAAAAAAGAAAAAATAATCAACGGGTGACAACCAGCATCAAAATTGGTTTCGTCGACTGTTAAACAAAATTAAATAAAAAAAATTAGATTGATTAATAAAATTAACATAAACTATAAAGAATAAAATTAGAGGGGGAAATAGAGAGAATGGGAAGAATACTACTAAGTTTTTTTTAAAATTTTAAATTATTGAGTGGATATGATTATTTTACTACTTGGACCAAAAAATGTTAGGAAAAATATTAATAATAACATAGTAATTATAAATATAAAATTTTATTGAATTTTAGGGAAAAATAATAACATAGTAATTAAATTAAAATAAATTATAAATGACATTATAGCTTGGAAAATATTTTAATTATAAATCTTGTTATGTTTTGCATAATGTTACTTGGGTTGTTTCATAAAGCAACATACACAGAAGAAATTGTGTGGGGGTGGGGGATAAGGCTGTTGTTCATCAGGAATGAAATATTAATTGAGTCTGCATACTCTTTCTTTTATTAGGCTAAGATGATTATATATATTTTAAATATTTTTAATTATTTGATAATAAATGTTTAATCATTTTTATTATCATTGGTATTCGAACTCGTGACCTCTAAAAATAACTAGGACTACAAATAAGATGAGACAGATCGCATATTACTTGAGATCAATTCGATCAAAACTCGATAAATACTCGACTCAAGTTCTTAACGAATCAAAACAAACTACTTGATACTCAACTCGAAAAACTAATGAGCAGCTCGAAAATATAATATATTAAGATTTTATTAAAAAATAAATTATTAAAAATATTAACACTTGTGTTGATTTTTTTAAAATACAATATAACGTTTTTATGTATTTAAAATTTATGTTTGAGTTTAAAACTTTAATTGAATTAAGTTTAAGATTTTTTTTAAGCTTCAATTCATGATTTCGAGTTTGAGTTAAACTTGATAATTTTAAGCTCGCGAGTTTTCGAGTCGAGTTCCATTTCAAAATTTTTAAGTGGAGTCTAGCTTGAGTATTAATGGAGAAAAATAAAACGTACGAACCAACAATTACTTTTCATTAAGGTAATTTGGTTCGTGCGAGGCAGCAGATTGGATCGGTAAAATTGTCCCATAACTCATTTTCATTTCAACTTGGAAAAAAGTCTGGTAATGTAGAATTAATATAACGAAAACAGTAAGTAGGCCTTTCCATTTTAAGACCAAAGCTTCATCTCTAACCATCGAGTTCCTTGGATCCATTGAGTCCCAATGCGTCTCCCAGATTGATTGTTCTTCTCATAGTTCTCCTCCCAATACCTCCATTGCCCTTCCTCATCATTGCAGCAAATTCCCCATAGTCTATTTGTCCATCCTGTTCCATGGCCAAAACCATATTCATCATGCACATGCAAAAGCTTAAGATGAAGTGAAATCGACGACGACAAACTCACATTGTCTTGATCGATTTCTTTGATCATCTCATCGAGATGGACGTCGCTCAGTCCAAACTCTTTGCAGGCTTGTTGAAGCTCGTCGATGGTTATGTATCCACTCCCGTCTTTGTCGAAAAAGGAGAAGGCTCCCACCAGGTTCTCCTCCCTCTCCAGTTTATTCAAGTGCACCGTAGCAGCCAGGAATTCGCCGTAATCGATCGACCCGTTGTTGTCGATATCCGCCTGCCAAAACAACACGAATGTAACATCAAAGTACCTGCAAGAGGTGTACACAAAAGACTGCAATAGGATTTCTTACCGCATCCATAAGATCTTTGATCTCAGATTCCATAAGCTCAGAACCAACCCGCTTCAGCCCATCTTTTAATTCTTCGAATGTGATTGTTCCGCTGTTATCGGTATCTATCATTTTAAATAACTCTTTCAGACCACCGATTTCTTCTTCTGAAAGCCTTTCTGCTATAACCTAACATTGAGTATGAATGTTAGTAGAAATTTTATAAGAGAGAAAACCCGAAATCGTTTTCCTACAATATTTACAAAAAGATGCTGACATGAAAGACCAGCTGATAACAGGATAACATGAATGTCTGTACGAAGTATCGCTTGATCAAGATCACAGAGAGGTTCTGCAATTGGTTCAGATTAGAGATGATAACACGAACACAATTAATAAACAGAACACGATACAGATTCACAGTATAAAATAATAATAGCATGTTCTCAACCATTCTACCACTTCCTCACTCAAAAGTACATGAACTGTACTTTATATATTCTACTACTAAAACTTGTTTAGGATCATTCTACTGAGCTTGATGCAATATACTTAGCAGGCCTTGGCCATGAGCATGTACACCAAGCTTAACATGTTGATCTTCAGGTCAACAAATACTATGGAATTTCAGAGAATTAATGAAGTAATGCTAACAAATCCATTGAATCGAGTCCAGATGAGTCTAATAAATGAGTAAAAAATAAATTTTCAATTATATTTAGGGATGATAAAACATTTCACACAGAATTTTACATGATTTGGTAGTCCATTTTAGATATCTATTTGATAATACCAGCTTAAATATATATATATACAGGAAGATAATATTCACTACATTTACTTGAGCCATTATAAAAACGACACAATATCTCCCGAGCAAAACTGAAAAGGTCACTCGTAAAAACCGTGAATGGGTAGCAAGTATCAGCACATCAGAACAACAGGAGAAAAAACGTTAGAGAACCAAATATCTACGCAGCACACAGTATTTCAAGGATGCAAGCAGAAAAGTGAAGCTAACAGGAGCCCAAAAAATAATTCGAAACAAAAGAAATCTTCGCGTATCATGTTGAACCTAAGTAATATTTTGCAATGAATATTTTCCAACAAAAACTTGAAAAAAGAAATGTTAAAGACAAAAATAAAGAAGCTTTAGCAGTCCAAGAACTTATAAGCTATCTGATTCTAAGGTAAAATGCATGTTATGCATTTACTTACTCGCAAAGCCATCTTCTTAAGTTTGTTCATTGCAGAGAACTGTTTCAGGCGTGACAATACTGCAGAATCAAGAGGTTTATCGGGCGCAATTGTGTCATCTACAATCCATGGGTGACCTGGTATAAACGGTTATGACCATAAGGTTGCGAGGAACATCAGCAGTATATTTCCAGACAATTCTTTTGCTATGTTTGGGGCTAAATTCGGGGAAGTGGATTCAGACTTAGTTTGTACATAAATGATGAGGATGCAGGCAAACATTGTGTAAATACCAGTTAAGATCCAATACACTTATGTATTCGAGAAGGCATCACACGAAGGATATAAATTGCATATTTCATTCAGGTAAACCGTAAACCCCAAGCACCATCAGGCAGAGAGCTAGGATATGTATGAATCTAGATTAATCATGAACGCCATGTTTTCACGAATCCTATTGTGCATTTTATATTAAACTGAAACCGAAATCCCTTCTTCCAAATTCAAGTTCCCAAACACAATAGTAGCCTTAGCTGAATGCAGCAAAAGAAACTTACATAAGACTTGATGAGCAGTTAGCCTTCTCTTTGGATTGCGGTCAAGCATTTTTCGTATGAGATCCTTTGCACTATCAGAAATAGCAGGCCAAGGTTGTGAATCAAAATCTATTTTCCCTTGTAAAATCTGCCGGAAAATCCCCATTTCAGTTTCTGGAAGGAATGCAAGAACATGAACAAAGATCAGATTCGAAAGCCTAAGAAAGAATTTCTCTTCAAAACTCCAAAACCTTTTCCAACCGGCAATATATGCACTAAAAAGATTCTACCTTCCCAAAATGGAGGCACTCCACTCAATAGTATATACAGAATAACACCTGCACTCCACACGTCTGCTTCAGGTCCATAATGCTTCCGTAAAACCTCTGGTGCAACATAGTATGGACTCCCAACAACATCAGAGAAAAATTCACCTAGAAAGATAGGGGGAAAACTGTAAATTTTTGTAAAAGAGTGATACAATAAGACATCCTTAAATCTTTACGACACTCGGCAACATTAAATAAGGCTAATAAATACAATGCAGATCTTGAAAATTCTTTCCTCCATAGCAAAACGCTACACAGCCATAGATTGAAAAAAAAAAAGAAGCTCGTTGTTAAATCAAACACGAACACAATATGATAAAAGGATTTTTCCCACAACATTTTCTTCTGCTTATCATTGCAGTTACAGGCACAAAAACGTTAGTAACAACATACAGATGTGCAAGCCTTTCCTCCTTCCTTTCACCATCTTCACCAAGTACAAACTGTTTAGGCTCAACTATATAAATTGCTTTCAGCGGCACCTAAGTTTGTTGCATATAAGCATGTAAGGTACCCCCACCACCTGCAAATCAGCCCATTTCCTCCTATTGACACACCCTAATGCTACTCAAATGATATTCCAATTTCCAGCTAATACAAGAGTGTGGAAAATCAAAGTGCTCATGTGTTTGACTACTTCAGAACAGGGATTTCATGCTAGAATCAAAGCAAACCCTAGTTTCTTAACAAAGAGGAAAACTCAACAAGACGTGTGAAAGAAAAAGCAGTCAGAGTGGAAAAGGTTGAAAAGAACAAACCTGGCTTGTAGAAAACAGACAAGCCAAAATCAGTGGCCTTGAGGGCAGCATCTTCCTGAACAGTATCAAACAAGAAGTTCTCAGGCTTAAGATCTCTGTGCATAACCCCAAGAGAATGACAATTCTCAACAACCCCAACAATGGTTTTGATCAACTTGGCAGCCTCCCCCTCTCACTGTAATGACCCTTCTTCACTATCCTATCGAAAAGTTCACCGCCCTCACAGAGCTCCATCACCAAGTGAACCGACACCTGGTCCTCGTACGTGCCCCTGATCCTCACCACGTGTGGGTGCTCCGACAGGTGGTGCATTATCTGGATTTCTCTCCAAACGTCGTCGTAATCCTCCTGGCAAATCAGCTTCCGCTTTGGGATCGACTTGCAGGCGAAGGGCTGCCCTGTGGGCTTGTGGGTGCAGAGGTATGTGGTTCCGAACTGCCCTTGCCCCAGTTTCTTCCCCAAGCTGTAATGCTCCCCCAAGCTTGGGGTCTGGTAGGGAAGAACCGTTGTGGGCTTCGTCCCTGAGCTTGGCTTACTCATTTTCTTCTTCCTTTTTTTTCCTGGTTTTCTACTGTAAATTTCAAGCTTTGAGAAAGAAAAAGAAGATTCTTTTTTCCCCCCAATTTGACAGCCAATATCACATCAGATTCAATCAAACTTCGCTATTGCTATGCCTTATAGTGAATAGAGAGGAAGAACAGATCAAGAGTAGACTCAAGACCTTGACGATGATAAAGAAGAAAAGCTTTTACCCAAACGAGGGGGCAATTATTATTAAATAATAGATTTTTTTATACGAAAAAAAAAGTCTTCACCAATTACCGTACATGGTATCAGCAGGGTAAGAATGAAATGCTTTACCCATTCTCTGTTTTTCATTCTTACCCATTCTTTGTGTCAGACATTGTTTCAATTAGTGTCAGCTGCTCATGTGTAATATTATCATTTTCATTTTATTAGTTAAACTATACGTTTAGTACCTTAATCTAACTATTTTTATTTTAAAATTATACCTAATATTTATATTTTAATCCCTCATTATTAAAAAATTAACGATAATGCTGAAATATTATCATAAGATAAAGAAATGTCATTATTAATTTTTTTAAAATATATGACATTAACATTTTTATTAAATTTCTAACAACGAGTTACCAAAATGAAACTAATATGATTTAAAAAAGGCACAATACAAAAACAAGTAACTAAACTATGCACAAAATTGACTTTTGATGCATAATTTTTTTTTGTTAAAAATAAGTGCATAATATTTTCTCTATTATATTTTTAGGTATCTACCGTAAAAAAACTTTAAATGATACGTATCACGTTTAGATTTCTTTAAAAATATTTTTTTTAAAATTTTTCATTTTAAAAAATAATATATATAAACGTGACATGTGTCACCTAACGACTTTTTTAACGGTAGATACCTAGAATTGTAACAAAGAAAACATCAAACACATATTTTTAACCAAAAAATTCTTTAGACACCGGAAGTCAATTATGAGTATAGTTTAGGCATATATTTTGTATTAAGCCTTTTAAAAAATAAGGCTTAATACAAAAATAAGTGTCTGAATTTTGTCTCGAAAAATATTTTAGTGTCTAAATAATTTTTCACTAAAATTAGGTGCTTAACGTTTTCATCGGAGCACTTTTAGGTGTATGGATCGTAACATCCGTTAAGTGACACGTGTCGAATCCTGATAGTTTTGAGAATTTATTTTAAAAAATAAAAAAGTATTTATTATTATTTTTTTTAAAAAAAAAAACAACCCCTCGTGTGCTCAACCCCCTTTTCTTTCCCCTTTCTCGCTTTCCATTTCCCTTTCCCTTTTCATGGTCGTCGGTCGGTTGTCCGTGACAGTCACCACCGTCTTCATTAACATTGGTGTCGACCCCCGATCAAACTCTCGTTGACCTTTCGTCGTAAGCTGCTATCGTTTTCCGTGGAGAAGCGTTCGAATGTTCGTCGTATTTTAAACCATCGTCACTATTTTTCATTTGATAAGTCGTGTCGTCACCACCGTTCAATTTCGCTCAAAACTCATCCTCGTCGTCACTCAATCGGTGCTCCTCTAACATTAATCGTGGAGATTAAAATTTTAAAGGTTTAAGGATTTTGATGTTGGGGATTTTAGAGATTTAGAGGATTTGGGTGACGGTAAGGGCGACGGTTGATCAATGAGTGAGTAATCATTCGACGATAATGTTGGTGGCCGGAGATTGCCGACGACAGTTGGTAATGATTTTGAAATGAGCAATTTTATTTTTTAGAGTTTTTTATAATTTTATTAATAGTTTGGGGTTCTTTTATAAATAAATTAAATTTTTTTATATTTTTCATTAAAAATATTTTTATTATTAAAAAATTAAAAAAAATATAATGGTGGACACCTAAAAATGTAACCGAAAAAATATTAGATAATAAATTTTAGCGAAAAATTTTTTAGACAGTAAAGTATTTTTTTAGGTAAAATTTAGATACCAATTTGTAGTTACATTTTTTTTTCAAGACAAGATCCGTGTGCTGTGTTAGATTCCCGGTTACTTTTGTCATCCCATTTTCATATTTCTCGACTTTTGTTTGATATTTAAATTCTTATGTCCTGAAGTATAATATATAGTTAAAGAAATGTGTTACTGAAAATATTATTATTTTTTTAAATATTTTGAGTAAAAAAATTATCAGAAATATTATTATTTCTATCGAAAATGTTATTAGTGGGTGTTTTACCAGATTTGTTAACATATCTGATAAAGTATAACCTAAAATATTATTTTTTTACCAGAAATGTTAATATTGGACACTTTACCGGAAATATTAAAAAATATTAATATCTTAGATAAAATAATAATGTTTTAGGTAATTTTTTACCAAAAATATTAAAAAATAAGAATATTTTCGATAACGTATTTTTTTAACCGTATATTAAGACTAGTATATGACAGAACTTCTAAGTTCTCTACCTTCCGGTTTCAAGCATGAATTATTGAGCACCTAACTTTCTTTTAGTTGTTTTAATTTCTATATACCGCAATAACAATAATTTTTTAATTTGGTTTTCTGTTGAAAGAGAGACATATTTTGTGCAATAGTAATTTTTATTCTAAAATTTATAAACCCTATCAATTAAGACTTAATTCAAAATAGCTCATTAAATATTTGGACCTAACTACAATTTTTCAGCCTTTCTTTTTTCAATGCAATAATGAGGGATGACCTGGAACCCATATCTGACAGTTTTTTAAAATTTTTAAGTTTGAATCGGTCGGTCATATTTTAAGAGAGAATTCATCATATTCAAGTTAAGTTCGAATTATATCATAAAAATATTCGACCTGATATGACCTGAAATATATATATATATATTATTTAATATATTTACAAAAATATCACCTTATATATGTGTGTATTTATTTTAGGGGTTCTTTCTATTTCCATTTCTTCATTGTTGCCGTTCTCTAAATTTTTCTCTCTATTCTTTGCTTTGCTATGTTTGTTCATTCTACTTATTCATCTTTGTTTAGTTTCCCTCTCCCTTTCATAGGTGACGAATACAAAAAAAAATTATATACCATACTAATATAAATATAATAAAAATTTATATAATATAATTCATATATATTTTTAATTCAAAACAAATGTTTCTGTAAAAAAATATAATAGGTCTTGATTGAGATCTAACTAGATCGAGTTATGAGGAGGTTTTTAACAACGCCCCATTTATCTTTCAAAAAAAATATATATTTGGATTAAATCTAGAAAAAAAAATATTAATTGGAGCCTCTGGGAGTCATTTGTAGCAGTTACCTACAACAACAAAAACAACATTAATGCAAAAGTGATAGTTCCCTTTGTGAAAGGAATAGATCATTTATCAAATAATTTGATCGTTGTAAGAAAGTGATTGATTTTTTTAGGGAAGTTATCGAACATTTTGGTGAAGGTATCTATCTTTTTCCTAGATGTACATCATCCTTTCTGGATGCTTCCACTTGGGCAGCCATCATACCTTTTTTCATTCAAGGTTGAGCTTGTAACTTTTGATTTCCATGCCAACTTACTTTGCACACCTTTTTTCTTTGGATCCTTCAAAATATACTTGGCAAACTTCATTGAGATGTGGCTGCCATATACCATAAGACCATTCAACCTTTCCTTAACTCTCTCAGCTTCTACCATATTACCAATTTTTACGAATCCAAACCTAATACCTGCTCGACTCCTTTTCTTTGGAATATACACACTTAGAATCTTACCATATCGACCCACTACCTGTCATAAACCTTTTCAATGAATAGTCTTTGGTAGATTATCCACAAAAAAAACAACAATTTCCGTCAGATGACCTGAGCCACTCTCCCTCATTGTGTATTTTGATTAACGATTTTTCCTGTTCCGTTAGTTTCTTATCATTAACCAAACAATCAAACAAACATGAAAATAAGCTTAAAAATAAGCTGTGGTTGTGATACTAAAAATTAGGTATAATACCAAAATTAGCTTCCAAACGTTTAAAATACGTTTAAAATGCATTTTAACTCATATTTTTTTATTATCTTAGTCCAAAGTTTTATTTTAAAAAATGTCTCTTTGTAAATGAAAAAAAAATCTTTTTATAAATAAAACTTTTAATTAACAAAAAATTAACATTTTAACAGACATTTAAGTAGGAATCTTTTTATCTTAAAAAAATACTCTAAAAAAATCAATAAAGATCAAATTGACTATTCAATCAAATATTAAAGGTTTTGTTACATTAAAATGAAACATTAAAGGTTTTGTTGCCCTAGAATGAAACGATGAGGACGGTGAGAGTGGAGGGTTAATTTTGACACTATACCTAAAAATCTAATACCTAAAAATCTAATTTAATTTTGACATTATGCCTAAAAATAATGCTCGGCAATACTTGTTCAACTTCTATGTTCTTATTGCAAATTTGCAATTATCTTACATTTGAAGATCACTAGCAACATAGTTGATCTTCCATGACTTTTCTACCACCTGATGCATCATAAAGGGAGGACTGCTGGTATGGATATGCTTGTCGACCACAACACCACAATGAAGAACATGCTAGCAAAAGGATGTTTGTCGTCCTACTAGGTGACGCTATTATGTAGCACCTTCTTCTAATGTTTCGGTTTTTTCGTCATGTTTTCTGGTCATGCTTTCGATTCTGTTGATTTTCGATTGCCACGTTTTCGATTCTGTTGATTTTCGATTGTGTTACGTTGTGCAATAGGGTTTCGAGCAACGCCTTTCCCATTACGTCTTTATATAAAGGCGGCTTATATCCCTGCTCGAAACTAGACATGATATTTACTGATCATGTTTCTTCATATTAATTATTTTGTTTGCAGAACTTCAAGGGTATTTTTTTTTTGGATCGGATGAGTTTTCAAATCATACATTTTGAAACTTCAAAGCATGCATGCATGTGCTTTTGTTTATTCATTTAACAGAAACAGAAGCAGGTAGCGGTGGGGATTCTAACACCCCCTAGTACACAAGGAGGTAGCGGTGGGGATTCTAACACCTCCTAGTACAGAAGCAGCGGTGGCGGAAGCCTCGGCACCAGCCGTCGGAGAAACCTTCGCTCCTACACACCATGCCGCAATTGTGGTCACTCAGACATGCTCCCTTGAACTTGTGGCTCTTCGACTCGCAAA